TCTAGGTGGCAGGACTGGTGAATTCTAGCAAACATTTTGAAAGATAAACAATTCTGTATAAACTTTTCTTAAAAATTGAGTTAACAACACACGACAACTTATTTTATTAGAGTAGTGTTATCCTGAGGCAGACACTACAGGCACACTGCAGGCCACTTTTCCTCATAAACATACCGTGTATCCCTGAAAATAAGACCTAATCTGAAAACAAGCCCTAGCATGATTTTGTTTCAGGATGCTCATAGTATAAACCCTACCCCCAAAGTAAGCTCCAGTTAGGGTCATCAGCCAGATGGACGCCTTTAGTATATCCGCTACAACACACCATGGGCATGTTGAATTCATAATTTGGACTGGGGCACAACACGTGAATAAGGTGTGCATGAACATACAGGGTTGTGTCTAATACGAATCTTCATAATTCAATACATCATGTGTTGTAATGGATGTACTTAATGTGTGAACTAAACATTTTCTGAATTTTGGTGCCTGTAATTTTTTGTGGTTTTTGTGTGGGCCATCGTTCTTTTTTTTTTTTTTTTTTTTTTGAGACAGGGTCTCATGATGCAGTGCAGGCTGGCCTTGAACTCACTTTGTAGCACAAAGTGGCCTTGAATTCAAAGCAGTCCTCCTGCCTCAGCCTCCTGAGTGCTAGGGTTATGGGTTACAAGTGTGTGTCACCATGTCTGGCCTTTTTTTTTTTCGAGACAGGTTCTTGCTGTATAGTCCAGGCTGGCCTTGAACTCAAGGTGATCATCCAGCCTCAGTTTTCTGAGTGCTGGAATTACAGATGTGCACCACCATGCCTGGCTTCAAAATAGAAAATTTTTAAAGAGAGCTCAGTGGTACAGTGCCCCTGGGCTTTATTCCCAGTACCACAAAACAAAGTAGAATTCATAAGTGAGTTTAGGTTGTAGGATACATGGATAATACAAACAAAACTCAGTTGTAATTCTAAGTACTAATGACAGTTGGAGGACGAGCAAATGCCATTTCTCATAGCCGCTCTTGCAAGTGAGGCCGTGGTAGCGCTTGTGTTGTAAATGTTCCCGGTGTTTGTGTAGCAGGTGTCTTGGACAATAAGGTGGTGTCCCCTGTACAGAAAGCAGATTTGCTCCCTCTGGGAAGAGGCAGGTTTGTTTCGGCTCAGTAGGAGTGATGGGTTCCTAGGCTTGGGGTCTTCCGGCTATGATGCCAGTGCTTCACATGCACAGCCTCTCCCTGGTCCCCTCCTCGTCTGTCCTGTGGGATCTGAGCTGCAGGGGAGTCGCACACATGATCCTGATAGTCCTGCTGTGCTATGAGTAGTCTCATCGTGGACCCAGGCCACTGGCGTCGATGTCATCGTCGTCCGTCAGTGTCTGTGGCACCGTGAGTGGCTCATCATCAGCTTGTGAGGAGCACACAGTCTCAGCCCCTCTCCGTTCTTGACTTTTGGGCATGAGGACGCAGGTGACAGGGCAAGACTTCAAGGGCAGGGTCTCGGCCCGTGGGCTAGGCTGAGGAATGGGAAGACATGGGCATCTGGTAGTAGATGGCCTCATGCAGGTGGCCACAAGGAGGATCAAGGCGGGGGTGGAAGGGCAGCAGTTTTACCTGCTGACGAACGTGCAGGTGCTTAGCAGGGAGGCAGGATCGAGCAGGCCTCCTGGGTGTGCTTCAGCGTTGCCCTCCCAAACCTGCCTGCGGCCTGCTGCAAGGCAGTATGTCTGTTCCTGCAGAGCTTGGGAACCCTGGGAGCTGGCAAAATGGGGCCACGTGAGGATGCACAGCTCTGGGTAGAGGGAAAACCTTAGGCATTTGTTAAGTTGACCTGCAAAAGTGGGTGACGGTGAAAGGATTGCACAGCATTGCTGCTGGTGTGGGTCCACTGTCTCCTGTGCCCTGACTGCCCCTTCTTGGGGAGGTGGATCGGACTTGGAGGCATCCTCGCCTTTACAAAGGACCAAACCATGCCCCTGTTTAAATGTGCCGTGAGCACCGTGGGGAGAGGGACTCAAACTTGCATGCTCTGTTGGATGCGGGTCGTCATTCTGCTTCCTCGGTGGGGCGATGCCCGGACTCCTCCGATGGGCTGGGGCAGGGTTTGTCATGGGAGGAAGCTGGCGGGTGCGGTGCCCAGGGCCCTTTGTTGCGTGTGCTCGTTTGGAACTTGCCTGCTGTGTGTGTAAGTGGAGCGATGTCTGTGTAGGACGGTACCATGGATGCGGTAAGTTCCAGAGAGGATTCTTCCGGTCAGTAAGAGCCGCAGAGAACTTCCACATAAAAGGGCGCTGGAACTTTAGCCCCCCACCCCGAGTGATTCCTTTGAGCTGAAGTTATTGTGACTTACGGTTTTGTAATCTATGTAAAGAACACATCTGACTCAATAGAAAGACTACAAATTCAATACTAAAAAAACACCAAAAAACAAAAAACCCACCTAGGACTTTAAAAGAAGATTTACAAGTACACAATATGCACATGGAAAGGTGATCCGAATCATTATTTATGTGGGAGTTGTCAGCCGAACCATGAGGGCTTGAGACGGTCGTGGTAGAGTGCTTGCCTAGTGCATCTGAGGCCCTGGCTTCAGTCCCCAGCGCAAACATAAAGGAAAACAACCAAGCAGCCAACCAGGCAGCCACGCTCTAGCCCTGCATCTGCATCAGAAGGCGTAAAATTCGAAAGACCAGCACAAAGGCTGTAATACCAATTGTTGACTGGGATATGGGATCATTGTTACTCTCACATTACTGGTGTGGGGGGGAAATTGACAGTCAAATTGGAAAATAGTTGGCAGTTTCATGTGAAGTTAAAAATATACTTCCCTGGGCTATGGGTATTGCTCCGTGGTAGAGTGATTTCCTGACACTTGTAAAGCCCTAGATTTGATTCCCAGCGCAGTAGGGGTAAAAGCTGATTTGGTGACCCAGCAAGTCTACTTCTAGGTATTTATTCAGAAGAAGTGCAATGGCATTCATGAAGAACTTGCATGTAACTGTCAGATTAGTATTATTCATCAGCGTTCCAAACTGGAAAGAGATCATACATCCATTATCAGGAGAATATAGCTACACGTTGTGGTGATTCACATGGTGCAATATTTCTTAGCAATACAAAGAAACAGGGCCAATAAGTAAATCTTAAAAGTATGCTGAGAGAAAAGGTCCATACTCTATGATTTCTTTATGTTACAAAGTGATCACAGTCAGTAGAAAACATGCTTGGAATTTTGAATGTTGCTCCTTAGGCCAGTGGTCATGTGGTCTGATACTGAGCTGTGGACCCTTTGGGGCACACAACTAGGACTCCTTGACTATGTGCCGTGTTGCTGAGCTGTGCGGTTTGGTAGCCCAGGTGTGTGAAATGTGCTTTCAGCTTATTACACATTTTCAACTTATGATAAGTGCATTGCTTGACCCTCGCAAGCAGAGGAACATCTGTGAGGTTCTGTTCCTATGAAGGTCCCGTCTGGGCACAGAGCAGAACTAGTCTGTGGTGACGTGTCGGTGGTGACATGTTGGTGCTGCATGGGGTAGGATGCAGGGTGGGGGTGGACTGCATGGGAGCAGACTTGGTTTTCTCGATTTTAGAACAGCACTGGTAAAAATGTAAGAGGAGGTAATGTTGTGATTAAATTTATTAACCTTGGCATTGTGAAGACTTGAGCTTGAGTCCTGGATCTACCATTCACTACTATGTATGTGACTGTGGGCAAATCATTGAACCTCAGTTTTCTTGTCTGTGAAGTAGGGATGAGAATGGCTCTTACGTCACATACGTTGTAGCGGTAAATCAGACAATGCCATGATGATGCCAGTGCGGTAGGTGCACAGTATTGATGGTTTATTTTGGCAGCAGTAGTTGCCCATGCACACACTACTCGTGTGTCTTTTCCCACCCTCCTGCTTGGGTCCACAGCTCTCTACACTGAGCTGCATCCTCAGCCTTTGGATGTTTTGTTTGTTTGTGTGTTTTGAGATAGGGTCTTGCTAGGTTGACTAGGCAGGTTCCAAACGGTAAGTCACTGGAATTATAGGCAGCAGAACCACATTTGTGTTACTCATAACTTTGGAATGAGTATTGTACTTTTCATTTAAAAAAGAGAACAAAATAATTGCTGATTAGGCGCTTATGGATCTTTGATGTTCTGTGAGCAGATAGTTTACTGCTATTTAGCCTATCACAAGTGTACTGTCTTATTTTTAATCCATGATGATAATGAAACTCACTTCTTGGTTGGAAGTTCTGTCTGACCATTGGCTAGACGAAGCACCGCTTTGATGGGTCTGCAATCTGATTATTCTTATCCTTTCCCTCTGTGGGCACTGGGTAGACACTTCTTAAATAATTCCTCTTCTGCTATTTTAGATGGCTAAGGAGGATTTAAGAATCTTCTCAAATATAAATTGCCCTGGTTTGAGGCAAATTGATCAGACTTGGGCTACATAAACTGTTTGACGTATAGTTGCCAAATGTATTACTCCAGAAACTCCTTCAACATTAATTTGAACATTTAACGGATTTTTAAAATAATAGTGTAGTACCTTAAAGGGTACTATAGGGAGCTAGCTCACTGGAGATTTGAAGATGTTTTTCTCTATGTTACTAGTTGAAGTTTTAATTCTTTGTGTGAATTAGGAGTTTCAAGTCTGTTAATGAAAGAAAAAAGAAACTGGAAAGAAATAAGATGATCAGGCACAAAAAGATTAAAACTTTTTATGAGAGGCGTTAGGAAGGTGTTTGATGTGATTATGTGACTCACAGTTGTCTGAATGTGGAGTTGCTTTGGGGTTGATAGTGATAAATAGAAATGCTTGCTTCTAGCATTGCATCTCATTTCAAGTTCTTGAAGGCTGTGTGTTAAAACGGTTTTACCCAAACTTCAGGAATATCCTCCATCAATCTTTAAAATGGTTATTTTGTCATTTATATTTTTCTTAAAAATAAAACGTATGCATAGTCTGCTGTGTGTTTGGAACCTGTAGTAACTCACTCGTCTTCACTTTCGATTGCAGCACCGGAGCGCCTTCCCGCAGGAGCACGGCCATGGAGGTGGTGCCAGCCGAGGTGAATAGCTTGCTTCCGGAGGAGATAATGGACACGGGGATAACGTTAGTGGATGAGGATAGTATTGAGGCTGTTATTGTTTCATCCCCAATTCCCATGGAGACAGAGCTGGAAGAAATTGTCAACATAAACTCTGCTGGTGACTCTGCGGCCACACCCACTTCCACGGAACCCGTCACACTGTACAGTAACCACACTAACCAAGTTGCAGTGAGCACCGCAGTCCCTAAAGCAGACCCTAATACCACAGTGAAACCAGCTCTTCCAAGTGGCCTTCAGAAACTTGGTGCTCAGACTCCTGTGACTATATCAGCCAATCAGATCATTTTAAACAAAGTATCACAGACATCTGATCTTAAACTTGGCAATCAGACCCTTAAGCCAGATGGACAGAAGTTAATTTTAACAACTTTGGGCAAGTCTGGTTCACCAATTGTTTTAGCACTACCCCATAGCCAACTGCCCCAGGCTCAGAAAGTTACAACTCAGGCTCAGTCAGGAGATGCTAAGTTGCCACCGCAGCAAATTAAAGTAGTTACCATTGGAGGGAGGCCAGAGGTGAAACCTGTCATTGGTGTCTCAGCACTGACCCCAGGAAGCCAGCTGATTAATCCTACAACTCAGCCCTCTGTGGTTCAGACCCAACAGTTAAAAACAGTGCAGGTAAAAAAAACAAAAACAACAAAAAAAGGGAGCTTATTAATTAAAATGCATGCTTAAAAACATTAAACTGATTCTTAGTTGTATTTGTGTAGGGTTATTAACTGCATAGCTCTTGCTGAATTCCTTTGAATGTTGCCTTAAGGAATTGTGTGAGGTTTTCTGTTGTTTTTAAGTTTGATAGTCTTAATGTTTGTGAAGATTTTTGCCAGAACACTTAGAACAAATTCATTTCTGGTTAAATTCCAAATCAGTGTACTTGTAGCCTTTTATTTGTTTTAAGATGCCTTTTGTTCCTGATGGTAGTTTGGTTATAAGGATATTTCGCTGGTGTAAACGTGGCAGACTTGCTGCAGAGCTATCAAAAAACCACGTCAACACAAATTGTTTGGGTAACAGGTGGCCAGTGGCTAGGGGAACTTTGCTGCTCTAGTGTGCGCTGGCCAGCAGGTCTCTGTCACTGTCATCACTCGTGTATGCAGGGTGAGGACAGCAGCACTTGAGGGAGGGTAAGATACCGTCTTCAGAGGTTAAACCAGCCGGGCTTCAGTCAGCCTTTTGCTGCCCACCAGCTGTGGAACCTTGGGCAGGTTTCTCTGTCTTCAGTGTAAGGTGGCCACTTGGTCTTAGAAATATATGGTGCTTCACAGTTCTCGAAACATCAAGAATCCTTCAGAAGAGCATCTAGTATTAGTATGAATAAGGCCCTAAGATAGGTTACCAGAATGTGTATTAAGTGGGTTCCAGCCACCTGCCCTTTTTTGTTTGTTTTATAGTAGGATCTAACTATGTAGTTCAGGCTGGCCTTGACCTCTCAGTGATCCTCCTGCCTCAGCCTCCCAAATGCAGGGATTACAGGCATGCACCTCCAGTTTTGCATGCGGAAATGGTGTTCTTAGGCCATCACTAAGAAGCACAGTGATCCTCTGAGGACCAGAAAAAAAACATGTGTCCCCGGTCTGAAAGAGATGCCTTTCAGAGGAAAGGAGAAAGGTGAAGGCAGGAGTTAAAATAGCGAAGGAAGCGTGTCAGGGAGGTCTGGCGAGAGCGGGCGCTGTCTCTGTTCGCTGATGTTTTGTTGGCTGTGTGGACAGAGAATTAGAAGCTTACTTTGCATAGGCTTCGCATTTAAGAACTGCAAGGACTTCTCAAACCTTGTGGGTTGCCCGTGTCCCTCTGCCACTGTTACGCAGTGTTCTCTTCATGTTCCTTGTGATTTCTTGCTTCTCTGACTTCCTTTCCCTTGTTTTTGCGAGGCTCTTGCATGAGAGCCCTGTCCCATCAAGCGGTCTTGGCTCAGTTTGGAAGCTCCTTTTTATTGGTTACAGAATGGTGTTGTCACTTTGGGTCTTCACCATGTTCACGGGAAACTGATAAGTCGGAGCAACAGAGGGAGAAATACCTTCCCAACATCCTGCACTTAACTGATGGTGACAAAAGCATGTTTACTGTAATGCTGTGACCAATCCAAAAATCCAATGTCATTGTTTCTCACTTATGAAAACAATATGTAAACATATTGTGCCAATAACATGGGTACTTGTATCCTCTAGTTTTCTACTGTGATTCCCTAGGTACTGACAAAAACTGGGGTCTAATTCTTAGAACTTGTTTTATTGTTGTTACTTCTGTAAAACCTGATTCTGTTTATTGAGTATTTTGGGGGTTTTGTTTTTTGAGACAGGGTCTTGCTATGTAGTTCAGTCTGCCCTTAAACTCCCTATGTAGCCCAGGCTGGCCTCAGATTCCTGAGTGCTGGGATTACAGGCATGTGCCAACACGTCCAGCTACAATTCTGTTTATTAAAAAACAGTTATTGTTTATAAAAAATAACAAAACAATCTATTTAGAATATTTTTTTACTTATCCAGTTATTTTTAGGCGACTCAAAATCTTTTTTATATTCTAAGCAACCCAAGAAGCTCTTAAACACTCTGAAAAATCTACAAATCTCTATCTGTTTTAGACACCAGAAAATTTGGTTTATTCCATGTTGTGTATTATTTTCTGGTGTTTTTCCTAGATAGTCCTCACTGTTGTCTTAAATTTAATCAGAGTATTGAGAGTGTTAAGAGGGGAAGAAGGCAGCCCGGATTCATAAGAAGGGGCGAGGTATACTTACACTTAATCACAGATGCAGAAACACCCGCGTTGGTGTGCGTTACGTGTGAGGGTGGTGAATGAGTAGCAGACGGGACAGTGTGCGTACTCACTCCTAAACCTGCCTAACACAGTGACTGATGAAAAGCACTTGTGTGCACTATTTGGTGATATATTTGGCTACCTTATTTGTAAATTTTCTTTTTTTTCATTTTTGTGTTATTCAACTGGTATGATGAACTTGTTAAAAATGATCCTTTATGCTTTGTTTTACTTAATAAAGTTTGTTGTAGGGTAATTGAGAATCCATAATGCAAGAAGCTATGGTTCCTTAATGGAACTGGAATTTGATATTTTCAGTAGTAGTCTTCTAAAGAAATATAGCCACAAGGGCGAGATGAGATTGTTCATTTGAATAATTAATATGCTATTGGTTATATTGTTTATATATTTTCCTTATTGGTAGGTATTCATATAGACATTTGACTGTGAATGTCTTTAAACTTTAATCTTAATCTTTATAGCTAATGTTGCTTTTGTTAGATACATAATTTTAAGAATACCAATATCTCTACCTGTTAAAATCATTAATTGTGTGTACCTAGACAAAATTCCGGTTTGGCTTTTGAGTCTGTAAACAGTTGGAAAATGTTTTTCCTTTATGTCTCCCTAAATTGCGTTAAGTTTCTAAAGTATAACTAGGAATTTATCTTGCTATCCTTGCAAGCTGGGTATTATTTAATATATGAACAGATCTCTTTTTTTTTTTTTTTACAGTGATTCTTATTTCACATATATTTTATTGTGTCAATAATGTATTCTAAATGTAAGAAAATGTATTTTGAATGTAATATAATATGCTATTTAATTTATAGTTTGAGTGCAAAGAACGAGTACTTATTTAGTTCATGTCTTCCAGCTTCTGATATATTTCTGTCACTCAAGTTGGTCATGTTTATTCATTTGAGTAGCACTTATTTCCAGTAGTAAGTAGTATTTCCAGGAACTCAGTGTTCATAACTATCAAAAGATAAAATTTAATGTTCTTCATACTGAAATTTTAGGATCTTGATCATAGGTAAATTTCTGCTTCTGACTTTTGAAAGAAGCTATGTCTTTGTATGTGACAGTAATTAATATCAAAACATTAATACCTCTACCTTCTGACCAGGGATATAGCTCAGCAGCACAGTGCCTGCCTGGCAAGCTCAAGGTCATGAGTTCAATTTCCTGGGTACCAAAAAGCAAAAACAAACAAACAAAAAACCCTTTACCTTCCTTGACTTGTGGGAAATTTTAGTTCAGATCAACAGTGTGCCATCTGTATAACTATAGATCAAAGGTGAAAAAAATACAGTTTCTCTTATTTTGAAGAATTTAAACAGTATTTTAGTAAATAACATTACAGAGCCTTTGCTGTTACGATGGTCTTGTTTTACCAGTCTTGTCTCTTTGTGTCCTAGGACTTTAACTTGTTCTGTTTTCCCTTTACCTAGTCCTGACACATATATTGAAAGTTTAGAATCTAATCATAAGCCTGTCTTTAATATGTGTTTATATTTTGCATCCAGGGGCCAGGGTAATTATACATAGACATGACCTCATTGTTTGTACTGTTTTAACTTTATCTGCTTGTGTTATTGAATGATTTATTTGAAGAATATTGCAGTGTTTTTTATTGAACATTTTTTATTGAACAGAACCATATTACTGTTAAAATTAATTTGATTTTTATCATGAATGCATATGAGACTAAAATAACGGTATAATAAAATGCAAAGGTATTAGTATATATGGGCTATGGATGTAATCATGTTAATATTTTGATGACTAGCTACAGTTTAAGTGTTTTTAACATGACATAGATATAATTTGTTAAATGAGCTGGTTTTACCTGTTCTACCATGTATGAATCTTGTGTCTAATTTTGGTTCAGTAGTTGCTTTATAGAAACAAATGGTCTTCATAGTTATTTATATGTTTCAGATTGCTAAGAAGCCTCGAACACCAACCTCTGGCCCAGTAATCACGAAGCTGATCTTTGCAAAACCAATTAATAGTAAAGCAGTTACAGGACAGACAACTCAAGTATCACCACCAGTCATTGCAGGTTATATTTCTTTATAGTTCGTTAAGTCGTGTATTTACCTTTAAGTTTACAGAAGGCTGTCCTGCTCCTGTAAGTTGTTTTAGTGCAAGTAAAGCTTATGATAAGCTAGACTAGTTCATAAGAATTGTCATACTTAATACATGAGCGCTGCAGGGAAAATGGCTTCTCTGAAAATCAGTCCATTACTTTAGCCTCTGTAGTTTTTGGTAGAAATTTACCATGGAATTAGCAAAGTCTTCATAACTCCAGTAATACTAGTTACACCGAGATAGTGTTTGCTGCATGCCGTTTTAGCTTTTTACCTAGAATGACTTACGCTCCCTGACAGGCCCATGAGGGACTAAGACATCCCATTTTGCTCATGTGGAAAGGGAGGCACTCTGCTGGTAAGTGGCCAAGCTGAGCTTGGAACTCAAGCAGTTTGTCCCTGGGGCTCTTGCACTAGGTCTAATAGATTTAGATTCACACAGGGGAGTATGATATTTCATGGTTTCTGTTTGAATTTTTGGTTTCTATATTTTAATACAGTTCTGTAGGAACAGAAGATTGTCACAGTGGTAGGAATTACTTAAGCAATAGCGGAATATTTTACCAGCACACTCTGTAATGCAACCTAGTTTCTTTTATTATATACTTTAAAATTTGGCATCACCGTAGTTACCACCTCCAGAGTCTGGACTTCAGATGTACATTCTGTGCATTCATCAGCTTTCTTGCCTTTCTGCTCCCAGTGTAGCAGTTTTTTGACTTTGAACTCTTGGACCCATTGATTCTTCCACTTCCTTTTTATGCTCACTGCTTTCTTTACTCAGCATGGCTCCATGGCTTGTTATTATTACTCCCTGATACACATCCTTGGTTGCCTTCTCTGTCTTTCCATACTGCTTGTTTGAGTCCAGTTCTCCTACACTTTGCCTGGCAAGCAGCTATCTAAGCAGTTCAGTTCTCGATTGTTTAATTTCCATTTTGCTAAAGGCTTATCTGGAAGCACCTCTGAATAGTAGACTTTGAACTAAGACTTTCAGATACTTGGTACCCATCCCTTAAATGTGTGTTCTTGATGAGAGTATTGCAGATGGCCAGCCATCTCTTATATACATATTTAAGCCACTTACTTGGGCAACTACAAACAACAACAACAACAACAAACAAAGTCGAAGGCACTTACTGCTATCATTCTTTTTATTTATTTATTTGGTTAGTTAGTTGGTTATTTAGTTAGTTAGTTAGTTAGTTAGTTAGTTAGAGGCAGGGTCTTGCTATGTAGTTCAGACCAGGCTTGAATTCATCTATGTAGCCCAGGCTGCTCTCAAACGCATGGTAATCTTCCTGCCTCAACCTCCTGGATGTTGAGGTACAGGCGTGCACCACTACACATAGCTTTTAATAACTTCATAGACATAGCAGTGGACAGCTCTGAGTCAGTGGCAGTAATTTGTCATTTTCCTGTGTGGGAGGCTGAGTGAGGTGGTGAGGGTGAAGATAATGGCCCTGGAGGGCTGACTGTTCTCTTTCTCTTCAGGCCCTCAAGAGAGATTTGTGGGGGTAGAAGAGGCAGAGGTCTTGTGGGCTGTCACAAGAAGGTGGCGGGGCTCCAGAGGAAAAATGACAGTATGAATTGGGGCTAGTTGGGGAAGTAGACTGCAGTTGGTCTTAAAGTGAGCAAGCCTTGGAAGTTCTAAGGGACCGGGGTCCTAGTCCCCTGGGAGGTGTGGGGCACTAGAGGAAATGAAAGTAATGTCTCGATGCAAACATTTTTACTGCTTGAGTCTAGGTTGAGTCTGGGAAGTCTCTTAGAATTCCTAGTTAGGGGCTGGGGATTTAGCTCAGCAGCACAGCGCCTGCCTGGCAAGCACGAGGTCATGAGTTCGATTCCCGGTAGGGGGGGGGGGGGGGGGGGGCGCAGATTCCTAGTCAGTATATGTGGTGTATTATATGCAAATCAGTTGTGTTTACGGAAGTATCTAAATTTTGGGGGGGGTATTGGGATGAAACCCAGAACCTCACGCATGCTAGGCAAGCACTCTACTACAGAGTTACATCCAGCTCCAGAATGAATTTGGGTTATGTCAGGAGTCACAGTGACTATCAGGGAATGTCACATATGGATGTCGCTGGATCTTTTATAATGTGTTGCAGACCAATCCAAGCCTCATCTTTGGTGACATGCACTTAGTAGCCCTACCAAAATGTGTAAGATAGACCTTTATTAAATTTCACAAGAATTGTTGGCATTAGATTCAGCTTGGAGGGATAACCTCTCCTTTTAACTAGTTCTGTATAGCCTTTTAAACTTGCATCAGCCACGTCCGGTGTGGTGGCACACACCAGAACTGCTGGATAAGGCAGGAGGTTCCCAAGCAGCAGTCTACCATGAGCAGCTTAGTAAGACTCAGGTTCAAATTTTTAAAATTTCAGATGGAGCTGGGGTTGTAGCTCAGTATGAAGGCCCTGGGTTCAATCCCCGATTACCACTCTCTCCCTAATCAAAGTGAAATTGCAAGCCACCAAAATAGCTGTCGTGTTGAATTGTGTAGTAAGTAGGTTCCATCATTTTTATACTACAACTAAAGCTCTTTCAGGGTACATTGATTGTGTTTTTAAATGATTGGGTCCTTCCCATTGAGGATAATGGATGTCTCCTATGTTTCAGTCAAGATAAACCTTTGTGTGTAAGTGGCTTTTCTCCCGTCCAAGTACTAACCAGGTCCAACCCTGCTTAGCTTTCATGATCATATAAGTGGCTTTTCTAAAATGCAAATCTGATCTTGTCACATCTCGCTTAACATTTTCTTGGCTTCCATCCATCAGGATTAAGCTCAGGGCCAGTGCATGCTTAGCAGCAGAAGCATTTAGGATCTCGTTTAGCTTTCTCACTTCACCTTCCCTCAGCTCCAGACCTTCTGAATGGGCTTACTTTAAGAGCTCATTTTGTTAAGATTTAGGAGCCTGGCAGTTCCTTTTACCTGTAATGCTTTTCTTTGCTATTCCTCTTGGCTAGCTCATCTATTTTATCTTTTGAATTAGAAAGTTTGGTTCCTAGGTTTAGCCAGGTACTCTGTTTTTAACCATTTCTTATGCATTCTCATAAAACTTGATTTTATCTATCAAATACTTTCCTTTAATTAAACTTTTATTAAATTTCACACGGGCTTTTAAAGGTTTGTTTTTTTTTTTTTTTTTCCGGGTACCGGGAATCGTACTCACGACCTTGCGCTTGCCAGGCAGGTGCTGTGCCGCTGAGCTAAATCCCCAGCCCCACACTGGCTTTTGACTTGTTCATTAGTCGCACTGTATTTTAACACATCACTTTCTTCCTGTCTCCAGTACTTCACTTACGATTTTCTTTTCCTTTCCTTTCTTCTTTTCTTTTGGCTTTTTGAGACAGGATGTTGCACTTGCTCTGTGGTTCAGCCTGGGCTTGTGCTTGTGATCCTTCTGCCTCTTCCTCCCACGTATGGGGATTGTAGACATGCACCACCACGCCTGGCTTTATGATTTTTCCTTCTTTCCTTCTATTTTAGTTTTTGAGGCAAGGTCTCGCTCTGTCGTTCAAGCTGACCTTGAGCTCATGTCAGTCTTCCTGCCTCAGCCTCGCAAGTGCCCAGCAAAAAATCACTAAGTCAAACCATCATTAGAGACCACCTGTATTTTATTTGTTCGTTATTTTTGGACCTCGTTCATGCTAAGCAAATGCTCTACCACTGAGTGTCACTCGCATTCCCTTGATTTTTCTTTGTGGTGGTTTTTAGTTTGCTGTCTCGTTTCACTTTTCAAAATTTTTTAAAACCCTAAATTTAGTATACAATTCAGTGGCAATAAGTATATTCACATTGTTGTGCAACCGTTATCCCAGCCATTCTCAGGATTTTGTTTGTCTTGCAAAGCTTATTAAACAATAATTTCTTGTCCCTCCCTGCCCCCAGCCCCTGGCAACCGCCATTCTACTTTCAAACTCTATTCTGTATACCTCATACAAACAAAACCATACAATATTTGCTGTTGTTTCACTTACCATAATGTCCTAATGGTCCATCTGGCGTATAGCATGTTGTCAGTATTTCCTTTTTTTGTTGTTAAGCAGAATAAAATTGCATCGTGTGTGTGTGTGACATATCATATTGATAATAGTTCTTCATTTTACAGTTTATTTACTTTCTAATGTGGTGCAGCAATTGTGTATTATGAATGAATGTGAATATTATGGAGTCTCTAGTGATATGGTAAGAGAGGGAGACGTGGGTTTTATTCGTGGCACTTCTGTTGATTTTCTCTGTGATCTTGAATACATAAATTATTTGTTCATCTTCTTTCTGTAAAATGTAAATACCACCACCTCATAGAGTTTGTCCTTGCTCAGATATTCCGACTTCCATCTGAGGCTCTGGGGTGTGTTGCTTTTGATTCTTAGAGAAGACTCAACATGGAATAGATGTGCCTTGTAAATTGATGTCAAGATGAAATTATGTAATTTGCATATTGTGTGAATCTGTCTGCAGAGTTAAGGATTCGGAAGTTAGGTTAGATCATCAGAAATGCTCTTTGGAGGAAAACCAAGCAGATTTTTCAGAGAGAATACCTTGACTTTTAAAGGTTCTTGGGAAAATGGATGAACTCTTCAAATATTTTGGCAGAAATGACCTTCAGCATAATCATGTTGTGCCTGTCAAACAGAATTTGTCATTGTGCTGGCGTAGAGGTTTTCAGGAAACACACCTTTCTGCTCCCTAACTTAACAGCTGCTTTGCTTTGTTCAACTAAAAGTATAGTTACAGTCATAAATTGGGTTTTGTAAAAAGTACCAACCAAAAAAAGTGAAAATTTTACTTTAAATTTTATTTGCTATTTACCACAAAATAGTTGTCCTTGTTTTAAGTAATTTCACATTAAATGACCTTTTCCTGGTATTAGGAACTGACGATTTTCTATAAGAACATCTTCTAAAAGGTATATAATATGAAATTACAGTGATAACTATAAACACTGAGCATTTTATAAAACTGTCTTTTGGGACAGTAGTTTCCTAACAGTGTTGTTAGGACTTTATCTCAGGTATTGGCTTTGGAAACCGGAGGAGACAAACATGTTACTTGCAGCAGCCTCGACACTTTAGAGTCGCTTTCTGGAAATGTTTGCTGTGGATTCATGGTTTACATGGAATTCAGGTTAGAAAAGAAACTCAGCGGAACATTCAGCTGAGACCTGTTCATGGATATGTCAGTCAATTAATTATGTGCTGCCATTTGAAAATTATATTTAAAATACTTTGTGAATTCATAAGTGAGGATAGCCTTCATTAACTTTAGAAGAAACTGTGTATGCTTTGGCTTTGTTATCAGGAAAAACAGCTCAGAAGTTGCCAAGTACTAGTTCTCTGGTTTTTTTTTTTAATTCAAAACCAATTTTTTTTTATTGGTACATTTTAGATAGATGTGACATTTGACATAGAGTTCTGTGTGTTTCTAAAGAGAAATCCCTTCTTTCTTTCACTCTTTCTTCTCTGTCCTTACTTTCCCCTGCATCTCTAGCTGTACCTGTAAGTTCAGTTGAAGCACCTAGAGGCCGGCGGGGACGTTAGAGATAGTGTGGTTATTTGCCCCTACTTAGATACATCCCTCTTTAGCCAGAGTATTTGATTATCTAACATCTGCTACAGTGGTAACTCACTTGTGTTGATGCAGTCATTTTGATTGTAAATTTACAGTTCCTAGTGCTTATTTGACATTTTTCTGTTTCTGTACATTTGATGTGGTACAGATTCGTTCTCATTCTTTGACCTGGTTAGGCAACTCTTGGTTTTTCTGACAAAATAAATATTCTCCAAATCTTCAAAGCACTAAAAGACCCAAAGTTTTTATTCTTTTATTCCTGCTTCATGATTATCTACACGTTCCTTTGGGATCAAAACCAGTTTCTTCTCTTGGTGGTCACTCAGGCATGTAGGCTGACAAGGGAGCCACCGTCTCAGATGTAGCGGAGGAAAAGAGGGCTTTGGGACACGTTACACAGGCAAGAAACGATATGTGAACATTTACTCAAAGCGCATTGGCTAGAAGTAGTCATGTGACCCTAACTGAGCCACAAGATTGGAAGAGGGTCAGCTAGGAAGTGCCAGTATACCTTTGCCTTGTGCCTAGAGTGGAAGAGAAATACTTGGTAAATGCTAATACTTGGTAAATGGCAACAGTGACTTGTCACAGTCTTTCCGGAATTTAGAGCTTTGTTAGTCTTTGTATTCCTTTCTTGCCTAGGATAAAAGTTACTGCCCTTTCTCCTTACTGCTGTGTGAGTTCCAGTTCTGTAAGCCATCCAGATACACTGTAGGTTTTCAGTGTCATTCTTGGGGGACACTGTCCAGGAGAGAACACAGTATGTAACCTGGCCAGCGCAGCTAGCAGAAACATCCCTCCACACCCCAGCAGCCTGAAATCAGACGGCGTTCAGCTTGACAGTGTGCAAGTTAGTCCATCCAATAACATTTTTATGAGTGTGGGTTGGAATTGTACATTCATGATTTCAGTTCCAGTAGAAAAACTACTAGAGGGGAGTACAGAGGCTGAAGTCTTAAGACTTGGATTCAAGTCCTCCCGACTTTCAGGAGCTGTGTCAAAGCGGGCAGGCACATTGCTTCGTTGCCTCTCGCCTGCTCCCTGATGGCGATAACGCAACAACATTGAAGAGAATATGAGAACTGTTCATGCAGACTCTGTGTAACTGGTACTAGTGCATTGTTACTAAGAAGCATGGCTTTGTTTCTTTCTGCCTCAGTTCACCACAGTTTATTAGTGTCTCAGCTAAGTGTTTTAAGTTCCTGTGTTCTTGTCTATGAAATAGTGAACATGTGCTGAAGTCCTTGTAGGCATAGGCTGTCAGCACGTAGATTTTATCCTGTTGTTAGATAAAGACACACTGATGTGCTGCCTCTCGTTTGCAGGTAGAGTTCTTTCACAGTCTACTCCTGGAACGCCATCCAAGACCATAACGATATCTGAAAGTGGTGTTATTGGATCCACTTTAAACTCTACTACACAGACACCAAATAAAATTGCCATCTCACCTTTGAAATCTCCAAATAAGGTAAAAAAAAAAAATCAGTTACGCGTGTCAAACATTCGGCTAATGCTTTTTCTTGTTACTAGTCACTTCAGATAACTCAGTTTTCGCCTGTTTCTAAGCAAGTAGTAGCCACTCAGTGAATACTAAATTAATTTAGTAATTAAGGATTTTTGATATAAAAAACTTACTTTAAATACATGGTAACCTAGTAATCATTTTGCATGTTAAGGTGGTTTCCTTGGCCCATGTGCGTGTGGGTTCATTAAAAATATTTTGCATGGTATTTAGCAGAATTGTTGTCTTAGGGTGAGACACATATATAATGACAGTATAAATACAAAACATGAACGCAGCTTTGTAAATGGAGATAGGAGTTTTTGCTGGATAATAAAACCCAGAACAGTAGACATTGCTATTTGATACTCGTGACCATATAATTAGTGTTTTTGAAACTTAAGTACATTTTGTTCAAAACATTCAAAAGTTTTTCATAATTTGTTTCATCTTAAGATGGCAAAGTGTTGTTTTACTCTCAGATTAAGTAAGTAGCCTCTCACTTTCCTGAAACATACAGATGACACTGTACCAGCATATGAAAAGGCTTAAGGTATACTTAATCATATGATTCACTTGGAAAGCCAAACATGATTATCCTGTGCGGTGCCAGCCTGGTGACCTGGAAGCACACTGCCCTTTGTACTGGCCTTCTTCCTTGATTTACAGCTGCTCGTAAATAGAATAAACACACATATGCCCTACCTATTTTAAAGGTCCAGCTGCTCGTTCCTGTTTTAATGAGACTTGATAAATGTATGAATATGATGTCTCTTCCAGCTTATTAAAGTGTCTACCTGCGTAGTAGCATAGACAGTTGTATTTTCCTGAAATGAAATGAATTCAGGAGATACTGAGTACTTACCATGCGTAGTGACAAGCACTGGAGAGAAAGTGTGAATAAAACTAGGCTTCAGTTTCAGGGAGTTCAAGAAGGAACTTAGACTAAAACATTAAACATTGCTCCACGGCTGGCGGCAGCCACAGGTGGACTGACATGCTCTGTGGTGTGTCGGGCAGAGAGGGTGGCACTACGAGGATGTTCTGGATCTTTCCAGAACATCTTAACCTCATCTATGGTGGGACCTAACCGGATGAGACGCAGAAGGGCTCTCTGGGCTGAGGGAGCACTGGAGGCAAACTGCAGTGAGGCCCTTTGAGTGAGATCCACTGTCTGAGCAGTGTGAGCACCAGCGTGTCAGGGCTATATGAGGGCTGCTTCTCTGAAAGGTACTCTGGCTCCTGTCCATCACAGAGACTTCCTTTGGCTTCTGTTGCTTCTATTCTACCCTTAACTGCCTTGCAATCACCAGAGGAGCTACAGTAAATGCTAAGGTCTGGTTCTCATCCCCAAGATGATCTTTCAGTCTTTGTGGAGTTTGGCTTGATAGCAAGATTTTAAAAAGCTCCCTAAGCAGTCAAGATTGAGAGCCGCTGCTCTAAGCATGATGCTCACATTTTTGAAAAGATGACCCTTACTGCACTGTGAAAGATACTGTGGGAGACGAGAGAGAGAGCAGTTGGATTAATTCTCAACCTCGAATCCATGTTAGAAGTATCTGGGGGCCTCTCCCAGACCCCACTAAAATCCGTCTCCAAGCTGGACCTAGGTATTATATTTAATACTTTAAATTCTAAAATGTAGACCAGGACAGAGAATTTCTTATTTGGGTTATGAGAGTGTTTCAGGTTTTGCCAGACTAGCGGGGAAGGGGCTGGGGAAGAAGAGATAAGTTGAAAGAGTTGTGAGACATCAGTGACATCAGAGTCTCATGGAGGGAGAGAATCTAAGGTGACGACTGCATTTCTGGCTTGAGTGCCAGGACCTGTGGTGGCCCTAGGTTAGCAAGACATATGCGCTCACACCTAATGCCGTGCTGGTAGGAGCTCTGTTTTGGATCTTTCTTCCTTGCTCTCAAGAAGAGTTCATTTTTACCATGCGGACGTGCCTTACTTTGGTGACTCAGATTCCCAGCTATGCCAAGTCTAATCCAAGGCTTACAGCCAGTTTCAGGCCTCCCTGTGCTCAGCTCAGGCACCTTCTAGCTCAGGGATCTGCAGCGGAGAAGCAGTGCAGGACCTCTTTCTGGCTCTTGTAGTCTCCCCTGCTGCTTTTGATTCCACTTGGAAGGAAGAGTAGAAGAGAAAGGACAGAGTTGCACTCCGCTCCGTCTGTGTGGACTGTCAGCAATGTGCACGCAGGACGGCTTTGGCCTGTCAGGAGCTGGTGGGCACACTGGCCTCTGTGCAGTCTCCTGGAGCTCTTGCTGCCCGAGGTCTGCGTTGCACTTTACTCCAGAGGCGTGTGTTTTGGCTGGGTCCCGTCCGGATGCCTGTGCTCCCGCAGCACCTGTACCAGAGGCACCCAAAAACCCAGTGCAGATGGGCAACTGCCTGACTGCTGCGCTCTGTCCTGCCCTGCCTCTGTGACAGCGCCACCTGTCTTCTTCCTGCAGCATTCTCCAGGCTGGGACAGCGTTCACATCCACCCTGCCTGCTGAGGGTGTTGGGTACTCCTGAGAACTCCCACCGCATTCAGTTTTGGCGGGTGGTTTTGAGAGTTTCCTCCCCACTCAGTGATTTAGGTGTCACCCAGTGATTTGCGTGTCACTTTCCCCTTACAGTTGTCACCCAGTCTGCCCCAGGGGTTTTCCAGGAGAAACGCTGGGTTTGTTCTCACCAAGCTATGGAGCCCTATAGCTCTCGCCTTCTCCACGTTTATGAACGTTGTTTCTGACATTTTAGCAGCAGGAGGTAGGTGATAGGGAGGCCATCTTTCGGTAAATCTGGCATGCGTGTTGTGTCCTTTTTAGCTTGTGGGGGAACTTATCAGTTCTAGTTCTCAGCTTCAGGGTCCCACTTCAGCCAGATCTTAAGATAGCAGAAAAAAATCTCATATTTAACCTCTAGGTGCTAGAGGAGGATGTAGAAGGAATTACCAGCCATGTCCGGTTCTTGGACGTGTTTGTCATTGAGGTCCTCACTGGTGATCTGGAGGAGGAGCTCCGTGGGACGCGGGGAGAGACGGTGACAAACGGGGTTCCAGGAAGACGCACCCAGGAACCTCAGGCTGTGCGGAGAGCAGGAGGAAGAGCAGGGCTGCGCAGCGAACAGCAGGTGCTAGTGGGAGCGAAGGCCAAGCGGAAGAGAGCGAACAGTGGGGGAGGGAGAGCCAGGAGTGTGAACGCAAGGGTACTTCAAGAAGATGCTGGGTCACGGTGTCAGATGTCTAGAGGATCAATTAAGAAAAGACTAAGAAGCAAGACCTCCATGGAGACCCGCTTGTACCTACTGATAGTAGAGGAGCCCCAGCACCTGTTCTTGCTGCTCCCACTGCCCTCTGACCGCCACCATCGCCTTCAACCTGAGGACTTCTCCGCGATCTGTCCTGTGGGCGTTGGGTGCCACCGACGGCACAGACTCCCGGACCGCCTCGCCTCCCTTGTGATCCCCAGGCCTCCCGGTGTCCTTGCTCCCTGTCCATCTGCCTCCCTCTTAACGCATCTCCCCCGTGCCCCCATGCAGCTCGTAAGCAGAGTTCTCGCCCCAGATGCTCGCCTTTTCTGCGGAATGCTCCTTTGGCACTGGCTTGAGCAGATGCCTTGCTGTGCTGTCACCCTTGATCAGCACAATTTAGACTGTGCTCAGGCCGGTCTGCATCTTCACGTCTGACATTGCCGGGTTCATTGTCCACTGTTTTCTCAATTTACCTCCTTCAGGACAGCTTCTTTTTGTTATATTTACTTTCTAGAGTAATCTTGAGCTTTTATAAATGTATATGAATTTATGCAAATAACCATTAAAGTAGTGAAAATGGAGTTCTGTTTGGTTTAGTTTCTTCTAGCCTTAATTGTAATGATGTTACCCTGTACGTACTTCCAGGCCTTTGTGTATGTGAGCCTGTGGGGAGGTAGTAGTGATCTTCCTGATTCAGCCTCCCAGAGTACTGGGATTTTAGGGAACTGCCATTATATCCTGGCCTTTAATGTAGCTTTTCCTCTGTTTTTCTTTTTTTTGTTGTTGTTTTAAGACAGGGTCTCAGTACCTAGTGCAGGCTGGTCTTAAACTTGCTTATGTAGCCCAGGCTGGCCTCAAATTTATGGTGAACCTCCTTCAGCCTCCCAAGTGCTAAGATCACAGGTGTGTACCACTATGACCAGCTCTTCCTCTGTAATCTTATTCTTTCCTTTTAGTTTATTTCAGAAGTACAGTGTAGGTTAGTTTCTTTGCTTTCAGTTTATTTCAGAAGTACAGTGTAGGTTAATGCGCAAAAGTTGATCCATCTAATTCATAACATTAATGTAAAAGGGAAGCCAGGTGCAATGACACATGCCTGTAATCCCAGCTACTTGGGAGGCTGAGGAAAGAGGTCACTTATGTGAGGCCAGCCTGGGCAACATGGCAAGACCCTGTATCAAAAAAAAAAAAAAGAATTTTGGTAAGGGTATACCCTGGATTCAATCCTCAGTACCAGAAAAAAAATTCCTGGACCATTCATATTTAATGTAATTGTTAATATGGTATAATTGAATTTAAATCTTCTGTCATTTTACCAGTTTTTTCTTTGCCCTGTTTGTTCTTTAACTCTTTTTCTGCTTTTTGTTGGGTTCACTGAGTATTTTTTTTATGCTTTTGTTTTATCTCAGCTATTGGCTTATAGTTTAAGAAATACTCTTATTATTTGCTGCAAAGTCAGATGTATACTTTTGATGAGTCATAGTCTACTTTCCAGTTTATATCACTTCTAGGGTAAGAGCCTTTTAACATATGCTTCTAATTTTCCCTTTTATCCTTTGTTTGTTAAACACTTTTTACGTGTTACAAAATCTAAATTCCATTTTGCTATTTTTACTTTAAGCAAAATTACTGTTTTGGGGGGTGCTGGTAATGAGGGTTGAACCTAGGGCCTTTGCACCTCCAGCCCCTTTTACTATCTGTAGACAGGGTCTTGTGAAGTTGCCCGGGCT